CTTCTGGTAAATAAAATAAATTGTGTTAAGGCGGAGGGTCCAGCTTATGGATGTTGAGATGCACTTCTTCGAGCCACATCGTGGATATGGCATTGTCTTGTTTGAGATCATGTCAAAAGGCACGAGGATAGTAAGATTCCATTGGACAGACTGATTTCTCTTTAGTTTTCTTGGCCTTGTTTTATTAGTGGAGCTGTGGGGTTCTAGAAACCACAGCATCCCAAAGAAGGGCAACCTGTGAAAAAAGTGGCTGAGCAGATTTTGTTGGATAGAGAAATGGGAGGAAGGGAGGAAGGGAGGGAGGAAGGGAGGGAGGAAGAAGGAAGGAAGGAAGGAAGGAAGGTTGGCTCCAAGAAGGGGAAACAGTATATGCAAAGGCCAAGTGGTGCCCACATTGAGCATCTGGAGGAGGATGGAGAATTTGCCACGGAAGGTGAAGGAGAGTGGTGGAAATGAAACCGGAACTGGACTTGAGGCCAGACTTCAAAAGGCCCTGGGCACTGAGGGTTCCAGGAGGCCCTGGGCTGTCCACTGTGGATGCCAGGAGGCCTCTGGGCTGTGGTGAAGCCAGAGCTGTGGGTGCTCGAGAGCACTGCTGTAGCTGGACCCAGAGGATTCAAAGGATGGGGAGGGGAGCCAGTGCCAGGGATGATCCTATCCCCAGATGTCCTTAAGGAGATCCTGCTTTGGAGGGGGACAGTGGGACACCAACCTCCCTCCTGGCTGCCCATGTGCTCGCTCCTTATCTCAGGCTCAGGACTTGGCCAGGCTGCATGCAGTTCTCAGCTACCCCATTTCCAGCCCTGTGACATTGGGCAGGGCACTTAACTTTCCCCATCCGGAAAATAGGGCATGAATACCGCCCTGCCCTGAAATAGTAAATTGCAAGGCCAAAATTGATGTGATGGCCCCAGACCTCTACATCCTGTCTACAGGTAGATATTATTGCTCTCAGTCTTCAGATGAGTGAACTGAAGCACAGAGAAGTAAGATGACTCACATAAGAACATACAGTTAGGAAGATCTGGGTCTAAGACTTGAACCCAGACCCAACATCTACTCCTTAATTCAAGTCAGGAAAATATACTATATGGAAATGTGTGGTAATCAACAGACACAGAGGAACTGGTCAGGAGAGCCTATCAGCCCATAAGTATTGAGCATCTACTACATGCCAGGCTTGCTTTTTAGACAGGTTATTCCTTCCCTTTTGTAGCTTACAGTCCAGGGGGACAGACAGCCACGCAACAAACAATTATAACAGGTGCCCTTAGGGTTGCCCCACTGGCTGCCCCTCTCATAACCAACTGACTGAGGAAACTGATGCTCAAAAGTCTCTGGCTGATCCCATGGGCCGCAGAAAACTAACAGGTCTCAGTGGAACTCAGAGGCTGGACAATCTCTACTCTGGGGTTCCCATGGGCTAACGAGACTGTCCGAGAGCCACACTGCAAACCTGGGGCTCTCCCTGCACGGTCTGCCTCCCTCCCTCCCTTCTTCCCTTGCCCCCCCCTTCCCTCCCCTCCCAAGTCTGTCCCTAGTCTCTCGTGCTCCTTCTCTCTTTAGTGTCCACAGAGCTTTCCTCCGATAACTCTCACACCCTTCTCACTGCACCTGGTGCCTGCTCTGCCAAGGGCTGGACTGTGGAGCGGTCCTTGAGTGTTGAGGCTCCCTGATCCTGCCTCATGGGTACAGGGAGGGAGCTGGGGAACAGCCCTCCTGGGGGAGGAGACACGTGGCTTAGGGATCAGCTAAAAAATAAGCAAGTCCACTACTTCCTTGGGTGCTTCATTCAACTGCTCTGGTCCTGTTTCCTCCTTTGCAAAACAGGTATTCCTGGTATAAAGTGGGAACCAAATGGGATAATCAACGTTCTGTGGCTCAGGCCCAGGGCAGGAGTGGCAAGGCTGGGGGACTGCCTGCTCCTCTAGGTCCAGTGCTGCCCTACCTTTCTGTGGCCGCTGTAAATGCCCCCAGAGATCGTCTTGCCGAAATCAGACCTGGGGAGATACAGGCTTCTTTCTCTCTGCCCGCAGACGCTGTCCACCTTGCAGGTATTTTTGGCTGCAGTGTGTAGTGTCACCGTGGCAGGCTGACCATTATCTGGGTCATTTGATCCTGCCCATCTGCCAAATCAGATAATTTGGTTGGTTTGCCTGTCTTTCTGGATCGCATGTCCCAAGTACTGGCCTGGTCCCTACCTGGCCTGCCTCTACCTGGACAATCCCCTTTTCAGAGAGCCTGGAATGAAAGCTGGGTTCAGCCAGTCTGTTCAAGGGCAAGGCTTAGGAGGGAAAGCTAATTGAAAGTCTTACCTCTACCTTTATTATGTGACAGATCCAGCTTGGGGATCAGGCATCCATAACTAATAAAGATTAAAGCCTTGGAATTCGCCCATTTTTACATCTAAAGAACGTTTCTAATGACATCTGACATCTGCACAAACAATCAGCAGATTGCTCAATTTCTGTTCACAAAGAACTTTTCCACGTCACCAGCGCCTAGAGCAATACCAGAGCGTCCTCAGCTCCCACATCCACGCCCCTCTGCCCCTCAAGGGCCTCTTCCCCAGTACAGCCTTCTGCTCAGGTGTCCCCGCTCCTCTGCCTGCTTAGTTTTGAGCTTCACAGAAATGGCAGCAGATGACATGCACTGCTTTGGGTCTGGCCTCTTTCCTTGCGCATTAAATCTGTGACTTAACCCTGAGGTCACAGTGCTCACCGTCCATTCGTTCTTTCTGCCGCTGTCTAGCACCCCCTCGAATGGCTACTGCAGGCTTCCACCCGGACTCTTTCCAGTCCAGGGCTATCACAGAGTGCACCCTAGTATGTGTATTCTGTCAAGACACTTGTGTTAAGCAGTGCATTTTCGGCTAACTAAAAAGATAAATCAGAAAGGGACGACGTTACAACATGATTATTCTCAGTCTCTCTCACGATGGTACAAACATGCTTTAGAATTGGGGAAAAGTGGGAGCGGAGCCACAGTAAGACTGCTACAGTGCCATATGTCCCTGGCCTCTGGGATGTGTCCCAACTCTGTCAGGCCTCCCTTGTGACCAGCACTGGTCCTCTAGAAGAAAGTAGGGGTTTCTATGGGTATTGTGCAAGAAGCCCTTGAAGTGAGGCCCCAAATGGCACCTTAGCCCAGGATCCCTCTAAATAGCTACTCTTGCCGGGCATGGTGGTGCACACCTGTATCCCCAGTACTTGAAGGCCGAGGCAGGAGGATTGTCAAGAGTTCAAGGCCAGCCTGGGCTACATAGTGAGATGGGTCTCAAAAAAGACAGACAGAACAAAACAAAATTTAAACAAATAAATATGAATAAATAAGATGCTCTTGACCTTCTCATTTGTCCTTGGACAATCTATTCACCCTCTCCACGATCAGGATCTCAGTGTTTGCGCCTACGAAAAAGCAATTAGCAATGTGTGATCTTCTCCGATGTTTCCAGACAGTCCTCAAATGATTTGAGATCGACTGGTGTTTGATAACTATTATGATATGAACAGTTGTCATGCGTTAAGTGCCTGGGTTGCTTTAAATGATTTCTACACATCATCTCATTTAATTCTTTCAAGATGCAGTGTTTGGAGCAACTGCAATGTCGAGGAAACTGAAGCTCAGAGAGGTTAAATCCCTCCTTACAGGATGCACAGCCGGAGATGAGCGGAACATGTGTGGGGATGAGGCTGGTTTCATTCGGGCCTTCATGTCTCTCTGCTGCCTCTTTCTATTGCCCCAAGAGAACTATTTTGGGTAACGGCAAACCATATAATGTATCCATCCAACTGTCTGAGAAACAGAACACTAAAAACACACTTAATCCCCTTGCACCTGTTCCATGCTTTGCAAATACATTTACTCATACAAACATCCCGAATTGCTTCTCAGGTTTCAAGTCATAGCAAGTGGTGTGATCCTGTGTGTCCTTCTGGAGTAGTTTTCCCCACCCCAGACTCAACACTATCGTGCTTGAGATCTATCCACGACGATACATAGAGTTCTAGTTCATTAACTTTCACTGCCGCCCTTTAAGAATTGATCTATCCCATTCTCTTACGGATGGGCATTTTGGCTCTTCCCAGTTTTCTTTCCATCATTACAAAGTGCTGCGGCAAGCAGTCTTCACGCTGTGTACCAGCATTTTGATGGGTGAGCTCTCTTCATTGTAAGAAGTGCTGTGGTCTCAATATTCTCGCCCAAGAGAGTAGGTTGGAATTCTACCCGTCAAGGTGAAACCTTTGGGAGGTGATTAGATCAGCAGGGTGGCGCCTTGTGATTTAAAATTAGTGCCCTTATCGATGAGAGAACAGCTGGCCAGCCCCTTAGCCTTAGAGGATGTGGTGAGAAGATGCCTTCTCCACCCCAGAGAGCAGAGACTTCCTAGACACTGAGTTTGCCACACCTTGATCTTCCACTTTTGTCTTCCAGAACTGTGAGAAATAAATTGGGAATATTTTAAAACCAGCCAGCCAGTTGAGAGTATTTTGTTAGAGCAGCTTGAACAGATGGAGATAAGAATTTTTCTCTACTCCGTATACATCCTTGATAAAACCGGGCACTTTAATTCATTCATTCATCAGTTTCTTCCTGGGCACCTACTATGCACCAAGCCCTTGTTGGGAGCTGGGGACAGAGAATTGGTTACAAGACACAGCGCTTGGCTCTAGGAGCTGACCCGAGAGACCAGACCCCAGCCCATCAAATGGGGTGAGCTGATGAAGGCTCTCAGGGGCTCCGTACAGAAGGCAGGGAGTAGCAGGATACTGGCCAGTCAGCATGGGCAGTGTGCCCGGCTCCTTGCAACTCAGAGGCCTCCTGAACAGTGTACCTGCCCCTCGGATCACAACCTGATGGATTCTATCTTCCACACAGTTAGCACTGCTGTGTGAGTTAGCTGTCTAATCGTCTAATAGGGAAATCTACACTCTCTACATTTGATTGAGTTCTAGAGTTCTAGAACCCTCCCTCTGTCCGTCTGGAATCATTATGATACTAGGTCACAGCTCACGTATGGAGTCCGGAGGTGCCCACTGCTCACGCTGCATGAAACCCTCCAAAGCTTGGCACTATGACTATCTCAAGTTTTGAAAAGACAAGACTCGGAAAAGGTAAGTAGTTTACCCAGTGCTGTCCAGGTAGGAGAAGACAGAACTGGGGTCCATCTCAGGTCGCACCGACTCCAGAGTTCGCCATCTTTGCCAGGATTTTCTTGACACATCTGGAAGTGAGTCCCCTCCTTACCAATGAGAGCAGCACCATGAAAGAGAAGCTACTTGCTCCCAGACACAGCCTGCTCACCACTCACATAGTCTCTTCTTTTGCTTCAGCTACTCAGAAAATTAGAGCAAATCCTATTTTTAGACACTGTGGTTCAAATGACAGTGATGTTAGGTTAGTGGCTCGTTTTTTGAACAAAGCTCAAAGGTGCTACCTGATCTTATGCTTGGAAACTCTCTTGTATCACTGTGCCTTGATCTTTATAATTTATGTTAAAGGTTGCTGTGTTTCTCCTTTCTCCAGGAGTCCTGCAGCAGAATTTGGCCAGAAATATTAAGATTCTGAGCTGACACAGAAGGCCGGAGAGAGGATGAGGCTCTTGTCAGAAACCCGAGACACCAGCGCTGGCAGGGATAAGGGTGGGTAAGGCCTCAGCAAAAATGAGTGCTCATCCGTTGTTGGGTCTGCAAGAACCAGACATCATTCCTTCCTGCCAGTATTGATCCATTGACTGATGGTATGTGACATGACATCCTACCACTTCGTTGCTTACTTTTTTGTTGTTGTTCTTGTTTGGTGCTGGGGATCGATCTCATGTCCTTGCACTTGAGAGGTAGGCAGTGGATCCACTGAGCTAAATCCCCGGCTCACTGCTTACATTTTATAGTTCATCATAATCTGTTAGTTTCGAAGACCAGAAACAGGGCTAGACAAGGCTGTGGGAGCCCTGCAAACTTCAAGAAGTGGGCAAAGACAATGAGGGCCGGGGATGTAGCTCAGTGGCTCTACGCCTGCCTGGCAAGAGCAAGGTCCTGAGTTCCATCCCCGGTACCAAAAAACCCCAAGACTATGAGGAAGAGCAGAAAAAGGAGGGAGATGTGAGAAATGTAAGGGACAAGTTGGAAGCATTTCATCTATGCTGGGAACATCTCACCCACCTACCTTAATCGTCTCCATTGTTTTGTCAATGTTGGAAGAGTCCTCACTTCTGTTTTGGGCCACATAGCCAGAACGTAGCTAAGCCTATGGCACACAGCTGATAACTATGGGGTCAGGCCGGCAAGATTTAGTAAATGAAAATATGGGGTACCCAGTTGTATTTGAATTCCAGAAAATGATGAAAAAAGAAATGGTAAGTATGTCCCATGTAAAATTTCAGACTGATACTGTTGCTGGGGGTTGTGACTGTGTTAGGTTCGTGGTATCCCGAACAAAGCATTGAGCAGGACACACAGAAGTAGAAATAAAAGCACAGATTTATTCATTAGTATCCGATCTTCAGGGTGGGGTGGGCAGAGAAAAGCGCTTACAGCCCCAGAAGATGCCATGTGTCAGCATGTAGGGGAGTTGGACTTGGAGGGAGTGGCTCCTTTGAACTGGGTGACAGTTCACTCCAACCAGAGACAAGTCTCCGTTCTGTTGGAGGAGAGAATTTTTGTTCCTAAACAGGCCTTTGAGAACTTGTCATGGCTTGCAGAGCCCACAATATCAATGAGATTATAATGAACTCATTGAGGTTACGGTTCGCCGAGTTCAGGTCACTTTCAGTGGCTTAGGATATTCTTTAGCGCAGGTGTCCTCAGGTGTGGCTTAATCATTAGAGGTGGGCACCCTTGGTGGCTTTTAGAGAGTTTATCTCGGGCCCCCAGAAGTTTACCGCAGTTGCACACATCCCCTGGTCTTCCCCGGCTGTCATCTGCTGTCGCTCCGTGGTTTTTGGAGAGGCAGTTTCCTCATTTTCCTCTGGCCTTCAGGTCTCCTCCTTTCAGGAATTTCTCCTCCTTACCTCCTTCCTCAACCCTGAAAATGGAATCCTGCAACCTGTATTTTACCTGCCACTGTTCCTGAGGCTCACACTCAGGCTGCCAGTTATTTCTCAGACACCTCTTTCCCCTGGGATGTAGGTGACACCGTAGGACCCGTGACAGTGACCACTGACACGAGTCAAAGGCAGGCCCCATGTTTGACCTGTGACTTCATCTCCCATGTTGTGGACGAGGAAACAAAGGTCCGGTGAGAGGAGACAACTTGATCATAAGCACAGAGCCAGAAAGGAGCTGGAAGCTAAACCCAATTCTGATTGGTTCAAGATCTGTCACTCAAAACAAAAGTGTGGGGGTCTGGGGGTGTCGCTGACCTTTTTCAGCATGACACAAACGTCTGTGTAGCTACCAGGTCAAGACAGAAAAGAGCTCTGCTTTTGTCACCAGGAGATGGGAAGGCAAGAGTTTGGGGAGACTGACTTACCCAGAGGTCACACAGCTAAAACCTATACAGCCTGTTGCAACAACAAGCTAAATCCCAGTAAGCAAAACTGCCCTGTTTTGGGTGTTAACCGTTTGCAAAATGCCACATGCCAAGCCTCTGAGCGGCAGCAGCAGCAGCAAGCACTCTGCTATTCAAGGGGAGATCACTCAGTGCCAGGCAGCTTGCTCCTTTGTGTAATCACCTCAGTTAATTCTGCCGACCACCCGATGACCTGGGCCTCGAGCCCATTTTACAGACAAGGAGACTGAGGCCTGGAGGCCACGGCATCCCAGCTCCGCGGCAGCCAGGCCTAGGCCTTAGCCGGGCCCCACACGCGAGGCCGGGGAGGACCAGGTGGCGCTCAAGGAGTTAAGCGGGAGGCAGCGCTGTGACTCTGGCGAGGAGCGCGCCAGGCTGAAGCGCGCCGATGACCTGGGCCTCGAGCCCATTTTACAGACAAGGAGACTGAGGCCTGGAGGCCACGGCATCCCAGCTCCGCGGCAGCCAGGCCTAGGCCTTAGCCGGGCCCCACACGCGAGGCCGGGGAGGACCAGGTGGCGCTCAAGGAGTTAAGCGGGAGGCAGCGCTGTGACTCTGGCGAGGAGCGCGCCAGGCTGAAGCGCGCGCT